TTGTAAGAACTTTGGAATAGCAAATCTGCTTTTTTAATAGAAAATACCCTAAAATGTTTTTTTTTTCTGGATGGCTCTGTTGTATTGTATGTGGTAAAATCTTAAAAGAGTTTTTATTGGAAATTGAAATACTTGACTCTCTAGAATGTTTTAAAATGAATGCCAGCCTTTTCTTTGCAAATGTCAGACTTTCATAATTGAATTTTGCAAGCTTCATGATACTGTTTATGGCGAGACACACTGTATACACAGTCAGTTTCTGTAAACATTAGACAGTTTTGTCAACAACTGATGGCAGTGGAATTATAATTAGATCTATTTATGAAATTCATGACACGTATAAAGAAGGTTGGATGTAGTCCTCTGTGCTAATTGACATGTGGAACAACTATGTACTCTGCCTCACTGCATTTTGCTGCTTTAAAAAATAAATGCAATATGGAAAGAATACTGTAGCTGTGTTTCTTGTATTAATTATAGAACCAAAGGCTGTATTTAATAGTTAACTGTATATGATAATTTGATTCATTTTACAATTAGTTGAGGTGTGGTGCTAGGGAATAATGTATCTAGAGAAGGAATTTGGTCCTGAAGGCAGATGGGAAAATGGGACAGATTAAGCCATTAATGAGGTTTTTGACAGAGAGATAGTATTGATAAGTCTCTAGTTATGTAGTTGTGATAATTTTTAGACTAAATTTTCAGTTTAGTTTAACTGTTGAAGGCTGTTTGTTGTGGTTCATAGGTCAGAAGCCTGTGCCGATGGTACCCAGTATAATTTAACATATGCTGATTTTTGGTAAGCTGAAAGCTGATAGGGCATGTATTTTAAAGACATGCATGGACAAGTTGTAGGTTTTCCACTCTTAAACTATGACGTAGGGAGATAATTTTGGATTACGTAATCTAGGGCATGCTTGATCAAATAGGTGGCCAAACATACAATAAACCCAAGAAACAATCCGGAATTTCTCCCTCTGCTACTACCTTATCTACCTCTTTCTGTTTCCCTGGCTAGTGTATCTCTGAAGGGAATGGGCCAGGGCATGCAAAACCTGGTGCTTCCAGCTCTGACTTCCAGCTGCCTCATTCTCTCCTCTTCCGTCAAGTCCATATAGCGTAACTGTTACTTGATATCTTCCCCTTCGAACCCTCTGCAGTCACCTTCCATTATTGCCAATGTTCACATGTCTCTTGTTCTCCAGAATGACCTTGTAGTGTGTATGTCTTGGTCTGCAGATGATCAGGTGGACACTGTGGCCTACTGTATTTAGAAACTGATACTTTGATTTATTCTGAAATTAGTTGAGGTGTTCTGCTGAGGAATAATGTATATAGAGAAGGAATTTAGTCCTCAAGGCAGATGTGAAAATGGGATTGTATACCATCCCATTGTATCGCTACACTGGTGTCAGACATGCATGCGTTTGGTGGTATCTGATTTCTGGGATGTTATTCTGGGTGTGATGTGTTGGATTTTTTTTCCCTCCAAATGCTCTGTATTTAATTTAGAAATAAATATTGCAATGTTTTAATGTTTTGGGAAAATAAAAAATGTACAGTCTTTCCATGAAACATGAGTTTTGATTGGCTGCCAAAGACTAAACCTGTTATCTCTGGCAAAAGTTTTAGAGCGAGCGAGTTGAGATTGTGGTCTTTCCCAAACAGTTTTACAGAAAATTTTAAAGCGGATTGTTTTGTCCATATTGTTTTCAATGAAATGGCAGACAAAAAATCCTTTTAAAGTAGTTTTTGTTATTCTGTGTTTAAAATGTAGGTGACAAGGTAGCACAAGGTGACAAGGTAGACAATGGTCTAGAGAGCCATGTGACAGGGCAAACAGATAGACAGCTGTTTCAACTTCATGGTAATTTGTTACCTAGGGAGTTCCTGAGGTGCAAGTGCTCTCTCTCTCAGTTCTTAGTAGCTCTTCAGGACCTTTTGTTTTTTGTACACATGTCCATTCATTGTTAAACCACGTAAGTTTTTCGTGCTTACATCCAAACACCTTTGACCAAAAGATTGCATAGGTTACATACACGCTAGTTGAAGAAGAATGTTCATTTTTTTAAAAAAAAGTACCTACTATTTCCATATAGTGCCTTACAGTTGTTACACTGAAGGAGATTAGGAAGATCTGTTAACTGTGTGTCCCCTCTCGTGTGTTGCTCCTCAGTCTCCTGGTGCTTCAGGAGTCCTCCTTTTAGTAATTCCTTCTGGATTTCTTGTGTTTCGTACTGTTCTGATGCTTAATGCCCTTCTCTAACCTTTTAAATTTCAAATATGTCCTCCGTGAGGTGAAAGAACTTCATACTTACATGGATTTAATCAGTGGCTTAATAATGCTGTCTAGCCCTTTGCTAAATAACATCTTGTCTGACAGCTGCTGAACAGAGTTAACATTTCCATTGATCTTTCTTAACTAACCCTAAGATCTCATTCCTGAGTGCATTCAGTAAACTTAAAACAGATTACTAAGCTTGAATGGTTTTTTTCCCTGTGTGCATCTCTATAAATTTACCATTTTGTAATTTAATCAGTGCATCTTAAGTTTTTTTTTCCCAGTTTTCACATTTGGTTCCCCTATTTGCTTCCTTCAGACAACATCTTCATCATCATCTTTATCACCTCATGTATCAGAACCCAAGTGATATTTCTGGAGCACTCCATTGAGTGCCTACTTCCTCCTGTAAGAAGTAATCATAATATTTCAGCTAAAAGTTTCTCAAGTTCCTTTAAAGTTCCAAAGCTAAACACCATCCAGGCCTCATAGTTTCTTCGTATTTCATTTGTTCTGTAACCTCTTCTTCTGACACCACAGAAGACAGAGATTTATTTTTGCTTTCATAAAGAGATATTTCAGCCTGGAATCTCTGAAGGTCTTTCATAGTGAACACAGATTCAAAAAAAATAGTTTTTTTTCCTCTACCAGATCCTTTTAAATAGAAGATTTGTTACTGTTTTACAAGTTTTTCCCTCAACTTTTTTTTAGACGTGCCTTAACATGGTTTTGTATTTTAATTTACTGTAATTCACAATCCTTCGTGTATTCGTTATATGACAGAACTTCAGCTTTTCAAGGTCTGCTTTCAAGCCTCTGTTTTGCCATTTAGCTAAGAATGCTTCCTTTTTCTTTTTTCTCAACTGCTTTGTGATAGGTAGTCAAAATGCTAAAATATATTCTTTTTATTACTGAAATTATTTTAAGATTGTAAGAAATGTAGCGGTCTGAATGGGATTGGTTTACTTAGTGCATGTTTATCTATGCAGGTAATTGTGAATCTGCACTCGATAATTGCAGATGCAAGATTCATTTAAAATGCTTTTAGTTACTGAAAAAGTAGTGAGACAATAAATATCAAGATGATAACAAGGATATGAGTAAGGTCTTATGTGTCTCAGTAAGGAATCATGTCAAAATAATCTCATAACCCTATATGACACTGGCAGTGCATTATGAAGTTGAAAATATTCTAGTAGAGGTGCTAAACTGCATAAAGCTGCTTGGAGAATGATTGTTAATGAGGTCCTGTTGGAATAATGTATCCTATGGGACAATGCAGGATATATGTTGAGATTAGGTTTAAGGTTTAGGTGGTCTTTCAGTGTTCCATTACTTTGTTTCAGAGTTTGTTTGTTAAATTTCCAGGCATCACAGTGACTTGGAGGGGTTTTAAAGTGCGCTGGAGGGCAGCTATAGAGTTAAAAATAATTAATCAACTAAGAGATGAGTCTCAAAAAAATAGTGTTATTTGGCAGGATCAGATGCCAAAGCAAAAGTAATCAGTGTTGTCACGTTTGTACGGTAGTCAAAAAAGACAAGGTTTGTTTTTTTGTGGGTTTTTTGGTTTTTTAATGAGCCAGAAATATCTAGAATGTAAAGTTATTCTTTGACTTTGAGCATTGACTGAAGTAGTGAACCAGTCAACTGCAATAAGAAAACAGGACTTAACAGGGGAAGACCTGTAGGTCTGTTAGTATGAAGTTTAGAAGATGGGGCAGAAAAGGAGAGAATGTAATCTAATGTAATACAAAAGATGGCTTGCAGAGGGTGGTAGAATCTATTTTTCATGCCCATGACATGTATGAAGTAAGTAAAGGTTTAAATTGAAGCAATACAGATTTCCATTGGAGACTGAAGAGGCAGGGAGATGGGGGAATGATTTCAGCTAGCATAGCACTGGTCCTGAATGATACTAGGAAGTTACAAAGTTATCTGTTATTGGAGATCTTAGGAAAATCATAAAAGTGTATGTCACATAGTTGTGCAATGACTGTGGCAGAGAATGGAATAGGTGTCGTCATGAGGTACCTTGTACCTCTGATTCAGCACCGAACTGGTCTTGTCAGCATGAACTTGAGGACTTCTAGTCTTGTAAGAGTGTAGAGCTGAGGCTGTAGAGTCAACTTCCTGCTCAGGAAATGCTGAGTAGAGAAACTGTGCTTTTTGGATAGGAGTAATAGCGTGAGAGTTCATTTACTCATACATAGATGGCATCATTGCTTTTTTGGGATGATATGTAGCGATAGAATTCCTGCTTGCAATAGATGACAAATTTTTAATGAATCATGGATCTGACCTAGTAGGACATCTTTTACCTTCTTCATTTAAAAATGTTTATTTGCTCTGCGGCAAATAAAAGATTAGCTTTGTGATAGTCATGTGCATGAGTTTTGTTCTTTATTCTTCATAATTATATTATTTTTATACCTGTGTAGATAGTGGTTTTCATATACTTTTAGATAAAGAAGTCTAACATTTCTGCTCAAAGAAAATACAGCAGTTTTTTCTTACTTAGTCTTTTCATTAAAAAAACAAGACATTTGATCTTACTAATGACCTGAAAATAGTCAGATTTTACCTTCTTCAGAGAAGTACCTTGAAAAGACAACTGTAGAAAAAGGTGCAAACTTCTCATAAATCTACTAGATTTATGTCATCTACAAGTTTGTATCCTTTTAAATCACCACGTGCATTTTCTTTTTTTGTTTTCTTTTAGGAAAGGAGACTGAGAAAGCCAAAGATCGGTGTGATAAAGCCACTATGAAGCTCCATATGTTGCATAATCAGTATGTGTTGGCACTGAAAGGAGCACAGTTACATCAGCATCAGTATTATGATACTACACTTCCTCTGTTACTTGATTCACTACAGAAGATGCAAGAAGAAATGATAAAAGCCCTGTAAGATGTATTCTTAGATATTTTTAACTTGCAGATTTTGTATACTATTCTAAGTAATTTATAGGATTATTTGAAAATAATAAACTGATTTATTAACTGTGTATCAAGGGATAACGAAAATATGTGTTTTCATGTTTCAATTGACAGTAATTGAGCATAGAAAAGTCTATGCAAATAATGCAGGCAGTAGTTTTGAGTGTTACTTAAACATTCTATCAAGACACTGTCTTCTCATAAAACTTTAAAATCTTACAGATTAACTGCGGTGTTTATAGCCGAGTCATTCTTTGTCCTTCAGCTGATATACTACGGCAAATTTGTTGCCTCTCTGGTAGTCTTATTTTCATGAAGTTTCACCAGCAACAAATTTGTTTTAAACTGGCCAATGAAAGTCATTGTGGAGGAGGGCCAGACAGATACATGGTTAATCATATGTGTGGGAGAAGTAGCAGGATCATATAAACTTGATCTCACTGTAAGGAATCCAACCTTAAAAATAACATTTTTTTACATCATTACAGAAGATGTGCAAACTGGTGATCTCAGAGAATAGACAATAAGGACTTTAAGCCCTCTTTTCTGGTTTGTAATCACCATGCTACCTCTTTGTCTTTCCTGAAGAATGAGAGTTGATTAGGAAATCTGTTCAGTAGATGTTTTTCTGAGCTGTTATTTCGATCACTTAGCCTGAAAGAAAGGGCAGTTACTTTTTTTTTGTAGATAATGTTCTTTTAGATGTGAGGCATTCTTCTTCTTTAATTCGTTTTCTTACCTTCTCTGAAGTCTACATTGATCTTGACTTCAGCACACAGGAAGTGAGGGAGAGTTGGGTATTTCAGGCTTTACATGCTTTCATTGTAGACACGATTAACTGCCCTATGCAGTATCAAAAATTCCTTTGATTCTGGTGCAGATATGAAAGTGAAATAGACCTTTGTAGTAGTCTCTATACGGTCCTTTTAATCTTAATTTTGTATGTAAAATCACAGCAAAAGGCTACAGTTAATTTGTGTACTGTAATTAAGGTGATTTTTTAGAATTATGGGATATGATAATTCACTGAAGAATATTATGATGAAACAAGAACTGAACCTTCTCACCTTTGCTATGTCTGGAGTAAAAACCTGTAAAAAATATTTTTATCTACAAAGATATTTTTCGTGAGATCCGAATGTGCTGGAAAATTACTGCTTTCTAGTATCTTTCGTGTACAAACAGAGGTGGTGATTTCACGTGTAGAGCTTGGTGTGACCATCTGTGTGAAGCGTACTTCCTTAATAATCCTGATTTTGCGGATGGATTGGTTTGGTACACTTGAAGAAGTGTAGATTAACATTGGTAATGATTTTTTTTTTGGTAATTGACATGGATTCCCTTTATCTTTGATGTGGCATTGCTGTAGTTGACATTTGCCTATCTTTCCATCACACTATTTTCTGGAACCTTTTCACACATACTGTTCACAGGCAAGGCAAGATTTAATGCCTTCTCTTGTCTGTTTTCTCCTCAGAAAAAGTACTGAAAAAATCCAGTCACACAACTTTTATTTACAGAGTAAATCTAACTTGAGATCTTACCCAGGAAAAATCTATTGATACTTTTTTATTTGCACGTTGTACTGGGCTGGCCAAAATTCATTAGTATTTTAAGAAAGCTCATGGTGCTTCAGAGCCTAGCAAGTTTGTCAAATATAGAAATGAAATACGAAATGATTATGAGAGTTCACTTATGGAAAGCTAAAAGTTAAGCAGAATAGGAGAGTGTTCTAAGGATGTGTCACTGGGTGCTGTTAAGAGTAGTGGCACAATATCACCTATTCTTTTTCTGTTCTCTATTCATTTAATTTTTCCTGCTCTCAGAAGCAGGTGAAGACAAGGCTGGGTGACTTGATTTTGTTACTTCTTGTAAATATACGATAACTTGTGATTTATGCTTATTTTTGGCTGAATGACAAATCATAAAATAAATATATGAAAGAAGATAGCTAAAATAATAAAGAAAAGCATTTTTTAAAGGAAACGCACACTATTTTGTGACTCATTTTGCCTTATGCTAGCATATATTTATTTGTCAGTCGGAACATGAAAAGCTTTAATGTGGGTTATGACAGGCATGGTAAGTCATTTGTGAAGAAGAGTGCCATCAACAAACACTATATATTCCTTTTCCTTCTAGTCTCTACAGATTTTAGTTTAGCTACCCTGTATGTAGATGCACTGAAATCAATACAAGGAACATGATCTTAGAGAATTCTCATTGGTAGCCAATCTGTAAAGAAAAGGCCACAGTTGATCTGTTATTTCTTTGAGTAATATATTGTCTTATTTTTTCCCTTTTTAGCCAGTTGCAACAAGAGTTTGTAGAAACAGCAAATTGAAAGTTTGAAGCATCTTCAATGACATCTGTGCCTTCAGTGCCATGTTATACACTAGAATTTTTTTTCCTCTCTAGAAAAGGAATCTTGGATGAGTATAGCCAGATCACCAGTCTTGTAACAGAGGAGATTGTGAATGTCCATAAAGAGATCCAGACCTCGGTTGAACAGATAGACCCTAACTCTGAGTATAATGACTTCATAGATACTCACAGGTATAAATTTTCATCTTGGTCTGCATGTTCATGTTTCTTCTTGAGAAAACCCTGATTAAACTGCAACACTGCTTAAGTGATCAGAGTTGGATTTGTTTCTGTTTGATTCCTTTTACATTGTTATGTGAAAGCTTTATCCTAGTTTGAAAATTATTCTACTTGCGTGTACAAAAACCTGTCTGAAAGTCAATTTTTTAAACTGACTGTTTCCTTAACCATCCATCTCTTTGGCTGGCTCTAGAAAAACAAAATTGCAGTTACCATTACTACATGTGAAAAGCCCTAACACTGATACTGACAGCAGACTATGTGACAGTCCAACTTCAGTGTGAGCCAATTTACTGTGTATTTGGATGCAGTTTGCATTCTGGGCTAAACTCTGTTTCTCTGCTTTATTTCTCTTATTGTCCAAATTCTAGTTTAACATGAATTCTAGGTACCTCTGTGTACTCTGCAGTTATTGCAGATTGTGCATTGCCTGAGACTACAGAGTATGCAGATAATGCCAGACAGTTTTTCACTTTAAGCTGTGCTATTTATTGATCTGTTACTCTGTATTAGTATATGCAGAAATAGACCTAAGACTTCCTGCATTATCTTTTCTGTTGTTATCACAGAATGGTAGGAGTTGGAAGGGACCTCTGGAGACCATGTAGTCCAACTCCCCTGCTAAAGCAGGTTAGCTTAGAGCAGGTCGCACAGGATCGCGTATAGGAGGTTTTTGAGTTATCTCCAGAGGAGACTCCGCAACCTCCCTGGGCAGCCTGTTCCAGTGCTCTGCCACCCTCAAAGGAAAGAAGTTTTTCCTCATGTTCAGGTGGAACTTTTGTGCTCCAGTTACTGCCCGTTGCCCCTTGTCCTGTCGCTGGGCACCACTGAAGAGTCTGGCCCCATCCTCTTGACACCCGCCCTTTAAATATTTATAAGCATTGATAAGATCCACTCTTAGTTGTCTCTTCTCCAGGCTGAAGAGCCCCAGGTCTGTCAGCGTTTTCTTGTAAGAGAGATACTCCAGTCCCCTAATCATCTTCGTAGCTCTCCACTGGACTCTCTCCAGTAGTTCCCTGTTTCTCTTGAACTGGGGAGTCCAGAACTGGACATGGTACTCCAGGTGTGGCCTCACCAGGGCAGAGTAGAAGTGGAGGAGAACCTCCTGTGACCTGCTGGTCACAGTCTTCTTGATGCACTCCAGATACTGTTGACCTTCTTGGCCACAAGGGCACATTGCAGACTCATGGTTAACTTGTTATCTATCAGGACTCCCAGGTCCTTCTTTGCAGAGCTGCTCTCCAGCAGGTCGACCCCTGGAAAGCGAATTGTATAGCAGGATCAGTTAAGAGTTGACCCATTCACATTGTTATCCCTTGAGAACCTCGGTTATGCTGTGATCTTGGTTCAAAGAATTGTATGCCATTTTATTATATGGTATGATTTTTATAGTGTGTTCTTTATTCAAGGTAAAAAGAATATGTATGTAGTTGCTACCTTTTCTTTTACTTCATATGTCATTTAAACTATATTCTAGTTTCTAAATTAATTCAAAACGTAATGGTTTGCCATATGATCTGCTCAAAGATACATGTTAATTTTGAAAATACTTATTTACTAAATTAGGTCATCAGAAGTTGTTGAACAAGAAATAGAGTTTGATACATCTTTACTAGAAGAAAATGAAAACCTTCAAGCTAATGAGATTGTGTGGAATAATCTAACAGCAGAAAGTTTACAAGTCACGTAAGTCTTTCTTTCAAACCTTCCATCCTTTGGAAATGCTGTTACACATTGTATCTAGGATCGCTCAGATTATTGCATAGCTCTGTCCTCATTTTTAAGGTCAAGTTCTAAAAGTAATAACTTCACACTATAGACTCATTCCCATGCTGGTTTTATTGTTCCTTTGCACAAAATACTCCCCCCTAGGCCCCCCGAAACTTGCCAGAACTTTCAATGTATGTTCCACTCCTTGCCGCTTAAATTGTACAATGCCCTAAATCCATCATCAATCCTTGGGAACACATTGATTCATCTTCCCAAAAGCGTTCCCACATTCAGTACTCTAAGAAAAATATTGAAGTCTTTTATTGAAACCACTGAGTACAGCAAAATTCATGCGGAAAATTTTCATGAATATATTTATTGCACTTGTTTTGTGTTTGCTTTTGCTTTCCAAAGAAAATTCTTATTCATTATTGTAACCTTTAAAATACATTGACTTAATAACACAGTTGTAGCTGTTCTGGTGCATTTCATGGGGCTTTTAGCAGTTCAGGGTGATAAACTGCCTCTCTATGTATTTTGTTAATATATTCCCTAGTTAAATCTTTTCATTACTTTTACCAACTTGATCTTTAAGCATTTGTTACTGGGGAACAAATCTCCTGCTGAGGTTATTATGTTCTTACTATATTATCAGCCTCAACTTTTGACATAAAATGGTCTGATGCAGTCACTTGTAAGATTGTAACTATTAATTATACATTTAATTATTTAAGTTGATCATAGCAAGTTAGAATGGAAAGTTTAGAATTTCATTGGTTGATGATGTTTTTGTTGTCTCTACTGTATTTCAGTCCATGTTTACCATATTTGAAGTTTTTTCCCTTTAGAAAGTGTAACTGATCCAAATAAGGTATCAGTGGTGTGTTCTGGGATTTCTTTAAGTTTTTTAAAATTTTTCATCTGCTTAATCAAACTATGATCCTTATTTCTTGAAGGTTTTTCGGAAAAACAAAATCATAGTGAGTCCTAATAGCAGTGAGGTATTTCAAACATAAACACATTGCAGCATCTTCTGCAGATTATTCTCATCACTGTATTTTCTCAACATGACAGAATGTCCGGGTTTTATTAATTTGTTTTCAAGGTCATTAATCATCCTGTCTTTTTTCCTGTACAATCTGATTACTTTTCATAAATTTATTCCTTAATAGGTATTGAAATAAACTTTTTTAATATGAAGTTTCCGCCTCCTTTGTGAGACTCCTCCTTAGTCCTGAAGCAGCTTCATCTTTCTTATGAAAGGATGCCTTGACAATAAACACACCTCCCTTCCCTTTAAATGTGTTTCTGTTTATAGTATATTCTGCATCGTCACTAAATTGAGATTATTCCTACTTAAACTATGTAAATGTTATACATTTAGATGTACTTCAGCAAAATAACAGGAAAAATATATACACTGAATCTCCCTTTTCAATAAAATATTACAATTTTCAAAATTATGCCTTCCATAGCTCAAAAAGAGAAATAACATCTTGTTTTGCTTGTGTTCTGTGTCCACTGTTTAGAAATAAGACATCAGCATGTCTAAGTGAAAGAGATGAAATGTTGCTTTCCTAGTAAATGATTCTGATGAAATGCATATTTTTGTTTATAAATGTGTGTCTGTATATTTGCCTGCACATATACATTTTTCAATACAATTTCCAGTGTGTCCTGTTACAAATCTTGTCTTCACCCACTTTAAATTCTTTTGTGAATTTGAGAGAGAAATTTTATGGTTTGATATTATTTTTGGAACAGGAATCAAATAGCTCTTTTAAGCATTGCTCTCTTTGTGATGTTCACTCTCTGGTATAGCTTTAGGACTGAGCAAAACTTTAACTACATTAGGTCAGACCAAAGATTGACCTAACGGACTTTCTTCTCTCTTGCATTAACCAAAAGGGAAAAGTCTAGGGAGGAGAACAAGAACAGGACAATTGTGCAATGCTGTTTCCTGAGTATGTTCTCTCAGCCTCCCATAATTTTCAGCTCAGAAATGTTTTGAGGCAGAAGTAGTATTTTTTCTGTGAATTTTTCCAGTCGGTTTCAGTATGTAGAAGTATATGTTGTGAAAAGAATTTTTGATCAAGGAATTCCAGAGATTAACTTCACATTATGTGAACATGCTACTTCTTAGTTTCATTTTATATCTCTTAAGCTCTTGTTTTGGAAGATAATAGGAACAAGCTACTCCTTTCTGTCTATGAAATTGTAAACTTCTGTCCTACTCCATGATTTCTTTTTCAGAGCCATCTTCAGCTTTAGTCTGTCCTTTCACAAAACTGACTCATATCCTTTATCAGGCTTGTTATCTTTACCTGAGTGTTTTCAAGGTTACTGTATTTTTATTTTTTTCAGGTAAATGACCAAAATTGTGCACGCAATCCAGATGCATAGTTTAGAGAGTGGCATACTGTGTTTTCCTGTATTCTTCTTCTGCTTTATTTTTAACAAATTCTAGAGAATCATTCTGTTTGATTTTCTGACCACTGCAGGGTATCAAGCTAGTATTTTCATAGCAACATCTACTGTAATTCCAAGATCTCATTTCTTAGTGGTAATGCTCAGCTTAGAGCCATTCACTACATAAATAAAGCTTTGGATTGGTTTTTCCGTGGTGTATTTGCGTATTTCAATATGGATTGAAATTAATCTTCTAAATGACAGTCCAATTATTGAGTACCATAAGATCCAGAATAATCCTTTTGTTTCTTCACATTCAGCCCCTTCCCCCTACCTCAAATAACATTGTACAGTCAGCATTCTTTGTCACTTTTTAAAATCTCCTTTTATTTGGATTATTATGAACCTATTAAGCGGTGCAGACTTTTGTGAAGCTCCACTAGTTCCTGGCACTGTAAAAACTGCTTGTTCTTATCCTCTTTGTCCTTTTTTTTTAGTTGCTTTTTTGTGCAGGTGAAAACCCTTCCTTTTAGAACTGCTTAATTCTCTGTAACTGCCTTTGCTCATATACCTTGTTAACTGCATTTTACATGCATTTTGATATAGTCTTGCTTTAAAACCACTACAGCCAAAAAAAACCCCACAGGTATTTGCATCGACTTACTGTGTATGTCTAGACATTTGCAAGTAGGATAAATATATTACATCCTTTATCCATATGTGATGACTTTTAAAAAATGTTCTGTATGTGCTGAAAGAAAAACAATTTGACTGTTGATCTTTAGTATTGAGATCATGGTCTTGCATCTTCAAAATACTACAGCATTGTGTTTCCGCAGAGGAGGGCTACCTTCCATATCTACCAGATATAATGAATCCAGTACATACAGTGGATTTATTTCACAAACTTTTAATAGATGTGTAAAAGATGTATATTGATTCAGAATGGTTTTTTGTTGAATCAGTTGTTTTATTGAGTATGTGAGGGAAAAATGACAGCTTTACATACATTACTGTTTAAAGGTTTTCATAAAATATATTTTAAAGTAACATGATGGGGAAATTGGCTCACCCATTTTTTAGCTAAGTTTATATTTATGAATAAAGTTTTAACAGAGGGAGGTAGCTAAAAGTCAGTGTTGACTAGATGACCTTTCTACGTAGTGAGGGACTTATTGTGTCTCCTGATAAATACTGGTAACTGTCACTGACTAATATTGAGATATTCTAAAAAGTGCAACAGAATAAAAGTTTGTGCTTTGAAGCTGCATGCATTAAAAACTGAGAGGAGGCGACCAGAATGAAGTAAGTGTTGATTAGTGGGCATGTGAATTAATATCCTAATTAATTTAAAAACTCTTTGAAAAACAAGTTCTATAAGCATAAGCATTTATTTTTATTGATATTTGAGGCAGAATGGTGCTAATGACTAACGAAATATGAAAGGCAGCTTTCCAGTAGCCAGTACCTAGTTTGAAGATGTCTACTTTCCAGAATTTTTTGGTCTCATTTTGTGTGTTCTCATGCCGTTGGAACCTGACAGTTTTGGATTGTGTGGTTGTTAAAGCTAATAAGTATTATAGTGACTAACTAGTTAGTAGGAAAAACCCTTTTGTAAACTGATTTTATCCAGGAGGCAGATATGAGGCCACTAGAAACTTCTTTTGACAAACGACAACCAAGATGATACAAGGCAGATGCAGAGTTGTCAGTTCTAGCCAGTTTGAATAAAATTTATTGTTTAAAACAAAATAGAGGTTGAATACAGGGAGACAAGTTAGTTTAGTGTGTATATGGTTGCTTTGTTTTGTTTTCTCCAAGATAAATGCAAGCATCCTACAATATCTCAGAAGTTTTAGGGAGAACTGCATCAACATTCAAGCTAATGCTGCAATATAAAATTTTATATTTTTGAAATGGCAAACTATTTTACTGTGTTGTTTCTGCAAGTATATACTCGTACCTTCCAGTGATGAACAGTCTTATTCACTTGGTTTTCATTTCTTGAATATTGGTGCTTGATCTGATCCTATAAATGAATTGTTTAGCCCATACAATGTTGATTAAAATTTTGATTAGAAAGGTGATCAAAAGGGAGTATCTGCAGTTACAAAACTGTTAATTACTCTTTAGCAAGGTGTTAAAAGAAAAGTTAGTCATTATTGTATTGAGACCCAGTGAAAGCAAATTGTCATTTCCGAGAAGTTCAGGATACAGATTGTGGTAGCCTAAAAACCAGCAAAATATTTATTAGAAAGGGAACTGTGGGGATATTACTTAGAGAGAAATCATAGAATCATTAGGTTGGAATAGACCTGTAAGATCATCAAGTCCAACTGTCGACGTAATACCACCATGCCCACTAAATCATGTCTAGAAGCACTACATCTACATGTTTTTTGAACACCTCCAGGGATAGTGACTCCACCACTTCCCTGGGCAGTGTGTTCCAATGCCTGACAACCCTTTCAGTAAAGAAATTTTTCCTAATATCCAATCAAAACCTCCCCTGGCGCAACGTGAGGCCATGTCCTCTTGTCCTATTGCCTGTTACTTGGGAGAAGAGA